CCCCCCCCACCCCCCCGCCCTCCGCGCGCGCTAGACTCCGATTAGCCCCGTCTGACTCAACGCAGACCCAAAACAAAACGCACATGACGTAATAGATACAAGCATAGCTCCTACAACGAACACTCACCCCCTCAAGCACCGACACGTATGGAAAGCCTCGCTTCACGAAGAAAAGAGCGCACGTGTTCACATAGCTGTAGTCGTCTCTCGCGGCCCTCTGGCTTCCGATACCCCCCCCAACCTGGTGCCCGTTCCCACCCGCGAGCCCCCTCGCCCGGAGATGCCCATCCCCGCTGCCGATAAGACAGACGTGCGCCCGCTTTCTAAGGGGCTCGAACACGGGCATGATTTTCTGCGGGGCGTTGAGATGGGATAGGAACGGCGGCGGAATACGAGCGGTGGTTGAACAAGGGTGGTCACTATTGCCGGGATGGGATGGTGTAGAACTAAACTTTGTGTTGTCGTATCTGGAGCGCGCATGGATGAGAAACCCTCGGCGGCATCGTCCTTGGCTGGTTGTTCTAAAGGCGGTTTGCAAGACCGGCGCATTGATTGTGGTGTGATGGAATCAACAGTAGATGGTACAAGACAACCTGGATATGACCTGCCAAAAGCAGGAAAAAAATAAAATAAATAACAAACATTAAGTACAAAAACCAGGAAATCAACATGAATTTTATCTTGATAGACTAACGCGAACAATCTTTTACTCGAGTCCCGTCTGGCTCACGAGTTGCGCGCGAGTAACCAGATCACTTGTACACCGTGCTCTGTTTCATAGTCGACGTCTACGACTAGCAATGCAATAACGAATCTCCGTCTTGAGTAAACTCCGCTCTTGCTCTGCGTCCCGCGAATTCTGTACACACTGACCTCGGCCATTTCTTCCGGATTCTCCATTGCCGATGGGTCTAGGTGATACGCAGTCGGAAACCGGCCTGCGTCCACCTGAAGAAAAATACAAAAAAAACGGCAGCATTTGTTCTAACTGTTTGAGATGACCCTCGGTGTGTGACAGAAAACAAAACTTGCGACCGGCAGGACTTGTCCACGAACGATAGCTGAGCTCAAGCCAGACAAACGATGACATCACGTCGCCTCGGCGCAGAAGAGAGAAAAGGAGAGATAGAAGAGGGAGCAGCAAGCGAGAGAGAGAAAAACACAATTCTATACTTCGAAGTGTGTGTGGCTCACGACACAACCTCAACCTTCCGCATCAAAACTAACCCATCACATTGCTAGCACTCTGTTGTGCCACCCTGCCATCGAAGCCAACAGCGAGGAATCTCCTAACCTCTCACCTGCTGCTTAGGCCTGCAGTCCACCGCGAAAAACGCTAACGGCTGTCGCTGTCTGAAAAGCGCACCCTGACCCCCTCCAGCATCCACGCCCTTCGCCCCTCCTGCCCCCGCCCCTCCACCTCCATCCCCTGTCGCAGCACGCTCCCGACGCCTGCCGGAGACCCCCGCCACTAGCTCCTTCGCACTGACGGCGAGGCACAGCTGCGGCAGTGACAGCTCTGTCGGAGGGGCGAGGTCTTCCCGAGATTGTCGGGAGTTTTCCGGGTTCGGGCGGGCGAGCTGTCCAACCAGAAAATCGGAGAACGAAAAAAAAACAGCGAAAAACATCAGAAACAGATGGGTGTGGGGAAGAGAGTAGCGACAAATTGGAGGCCGGACTACCAGCGTACCACGAGCAGAGCGAAGAAATGGGGGGCAGCGTGACATCACTATGTAGGAGGTTGAAACCGCCGGGGTAACCTGTATCGAGGTTTGTCGACCCGTAGAAGAAAAACCTAGAGTTTTGGCGTTTCCACTCGCAAAGGTCTGCGCCGCAATGCCATTCCCTCACAACACTTGTTTCAACACACCAGCACCGCCACCAATGGAACAACACAAAAAACAGACTTCCGACTGCAGCTAGCTCGCCCTCAATATATATGAAGGAACTATCGTGAGGATTGGAAAGAGAAAGATTCAGGAGGAACCCTTGTCTCACCTTGAGGTTCTTGAGATCAGCGGCCAGCTTGTCTCCCGCCGTCTTCATCATCGTCCGCATGCGCAGCAGCGACGGGTGGCCCAGCCCTTTGCTTGCTGCTGACGAATACGGCACACACACGACATTCTCTCTCTTAAGTTCGGGCGAGGTCTTGGGGCGAACATTTCCTGTGTCTTCTCGAAGCGGGCTTGTAGCACGGGAGGTACTACTATAATACGAAATTCTGAATCTTGGTCCCCTTCCGGGAACCTTTGAGTTTTTTCCGCTGACACTGACGTGCGTTGATTGGTCAGCCGGTAAGCGCGGGGGATAACAGGAAACACACCCAAACAGAGCAGGGTGGGGCGAGACCCAGTCGCATCGGAATCCACGCATCGGCGGTGTGCGTTGAGTGAAGACGGGCGGGGGAACGGACACATCGATCAAAGAGTCAGCCTTACACTTGACCCAGCACAAACAATCACATGCGCCTCAAATCCGAGATAAAAACCAAGCAGAAACAGTGTATCTTGAGCACCTCAAAATCTCAAGATAAAATCCAGAAGCAAGAGGCACCTCGATCGTTCCAGAAACAGGCAAACCCCTCTCCCAACAAAACGGGACCCCAAAAGCCGTCAGACTGGTGTGCAAACCTCGCACGTCGACATCACAAAACATCGCCGATGCACTAAAACGAAATGGTACCTTCTGTCCCTGCTTGCCCCGCTGCTTGAGGTCTGGGAGAGGTCGGCGCCGACGGAGTACTACCGTCCGCTGCTGGGCCACCCTCTTTGCTTCCCGACGACGCCGGCACTGCCGCAGCCTTCCCGTCCGGCCCGTCACTCCCTCCCTCCACCCTCCGTTGCGCGCGCGCTCTGACGGCCGCCTGAGTTCGGGTTGGATGTCCCCAAGTTGTCCATGTCACCGCGAGGCGAGAGGTGAAACAGGTTACCCGTGGCATGTGTAACCGGTGTAGGGGAGGGTTTGGGCGGTGACGACGACGGTAGTATCACGGGCTAGACCGCAGAGTCCACGACAATGTCTCAAGACAGGTCCACAATGGCAGAGATCGAAAATTTCCTACGCTCGTGTCTAACCCCACCAAAGTTTGACGGCGATCACGGAGCCCCCTGCTGAAGAAGTGATACCACCCACCCCCCACCCATCAGCTCCTCGCTCAGTCAGACAAGAACGACAACCAAAAGCACAGACTATCCCGCCTATTCACCCCCCCTCCCCCCTCCGCACGCACACATTCGCCCCAACCCACGCCTTTTCTCTACCCGATACCCTTTGGTTGCACCTCCTTTTGTACCTCGTGCTCTGCCTCAGCAATCTCGCCGATAAGCGCCAGGTGGTGCCTGAACGACTCCGGCGTCGCTAGGTCAAGCGCCTCCGCCTCCTGGCACCACAGGGCAAGCGCCGGACCGACCACCGTTGCTGCTGCTGCTGCTGCTGCTGGCCTCCCCCTCGAGGCTCTCTTCTCCGTCGACTAAGAGGCTCGCCATCGCGGAGGGGGAAAGGGTTTCCGCTAAAAGGAGGCGTAGCTGGGGACCGGTCGCAAGGAGAAGCTCCTCTCGGCGGCGAAGCAAAGCCGCCAGAAGCAAGAAGAACCTTTTTTTTTCGCATACCGGGACGGTCGGCGCGTACGAGCGGGGGGGGGGGGGGTGAGGGGTTGGCCCCGCCGGGCGGTTGGAAAAGTTTAACCAAAGCAGGTGGAAACGTTCGTTGCTGCTGCATGGAATGAAAGTGTTGACGGGAGGCGTATGGGTCTTTGCAGGGAGATGTGGGCTACCGGAGCACCAACGCGGCGCTTGTGCGGTTTTCTACCGTTGGCCTAGAAATTAGCGTACCACGGCGGTATCAAGGAATGTCACACGCACGGAACACCCACACGGGTAAACCGTCTAATAGCGGTGACAAAAAAAATCAAAGTCCCCGTGTAGGCGTTCTTCGTGCAGGCGTGCTGCTGATCGGGGTCGCCCCAAGGCAGACGGCGCCGCGCAGCCGTGCTGGACCACCCCAAGGCCCGACAAAGCCACCAACGCCTGCACCCACCGACACCGCGATAACCCCTGCCTGCCTCTACCCCGCAGCTGCCTGCCTCGCTCGGCGCGGACGAAACAAACAGCTACCACGGACTAGGACCCCTGCCTCTACCCCGGAGCTGCCTGCCTCGCTCCACGCGGACCGCGGACGAAACAAACGGCTACCGCACACTAGGACTAGGACCCCCAACCCCGTTCTCTTTCTCTCTCTCTCTCTCTCTCTCTCTCTCTCTCTCTTACCCGAAGTGTTTATCGTGCCGCACGAGCAGGTAGTCCCACAGCGGCAGCAGCCGCCCCAAGGGCGCTGACGCCCCGAGCGCCGCGTTCGCCGCCACCAGCAGCGACGGCTCCACCAAGCCCTCCCCGGCCGCTCGGGCCGGCCGGCCGGCCGCCGCCGCCGCCGCCGCCGGCCCCCCCGCCGCCCCTCCGCCGACCGCTTCCGCCTGCGCCGTCGAGCCGGCCTTCATGGAGCGTCGCCTGGGGGCAAAGCCTTGCAGGGAGGACTCCAGGTCGTCGACCATTGCTGAAGCTTCTTGGTCGAGAGCGCTGGTCTCCGCGTGCGATGCGCTGGCCCCAGGGAGAGGCATCTCCCACCCCGGGAAGGACCTTGATATCGCAGCGATCGGTGTGACGTTTTTGGCCGTCAACGGATGCACATTAGAGGAGTGACTGCTGTGTGTGGCTGTCGCTGCTTGATACGAGGGAAAGCCTGTCTATGATGGGCTTGCGGGCTGGCTGTACGCACAGTGCGTCGACATTGCAAAGGCAACTTGTAGCAATTCCATTGAGAACTTCTTGTTCCAACCCGATCTCGAGCATGCAGAACACAACATCCTTCTGGTATGTTCGACGACCGTGGTATAACAGAGTAAAGCAAAAGTAACGGCCGCATTCTCCCAACCGCCTCGAACCTAACTCCACACCTGTTGAGGTGCTGCACCAGCTCCGGGTCGTGGTACGTGCACAGGTCGTGCAGGCGCCGGTGAGCGTGCGCCCACGCCAAGTCCCGCACCGCGTGTGTCAGTCCCCTCCCCAAGAAGAGCGTGACGGAGCCGACGAGTGGGTTCAGCATCGCCGACACGGCGGGGGCGTCAAGGCCCATAGAGAAGAGCGGGCCGACGAGGGCACACAGAACGGGCTCGTAGGCTTCTGATCTGCGCGTGCAGTAGAAAGTCAGGACCTGGCCAGGAAGTGGTTGGGTGGGTGGGTGGGGGGTACTCAGAGCCGTGCATGCCGTAGTGGTTATAGACCATTGACCCCAGAGGGGTGGGAGGGGAGGATGAAAATCACAAGGTGTACCTAGATACAGTAAGTGGCTGCGATTTGACTGATGAGCGTCTGCTGCCTTCAAGCTCCCTGGAGTCATGCCCCCATCCGCCGAAATCACGCGGATATTTCATTCCTTGCGCTCGGCTCTTGGGGATACATGCCCCCCAGCACATAAGCGGAAGCACCTTCCGTCGCAACGTGCAAAATAACACAAGAAGCATTCCAAGACTTCCTCCAGCCCATGTACAGGAGCAGAACACACCTCCAAAACGCCAGAAACCCACCCCACGCGCACAAACATACCTCTTCGATATCGAACGCCAAAGCTTCCGGGTCTTTCTTCGCACCCCCCCCCTCGCCGCTAGCACCATTGTCAGCCCCGCCACCCTCGTTCTCCCCGGCGACGTTGTCATCATCGCACAGCCGCCGCGCGAGCGCGAGGCAATCGTTCCGCAGGTCCAGCTTGTAGGAAACGGCCGGGGCGTCGGCGGCTCCCGCGGCAAGATCTTCCCGCCTCCGCGCCCGCCACTTCAGGAAACCCGCGTCAGACGGCCTCCGGCCACGGCCCAGCAGAAGACCCCACACAACGGGGCGAAGGTCGGGCGGGAGGAACCCTCCCGTTGCGGCACACAGCCGCCGCACGTAGCCCACGTCGTCTGCTGCCGCCGTTCCTTCCTCCTGAGAATCTCCGCCGTCTTCCGTAGGTTGAACCCCGGGTGCTGCAACTTCGCGTAGGGCGGCGGTCGGGTCGTCCGGCAACGGCCGTAACACCTCCGCTCTTTCCTTGCGCACGTAGGTTTCCAACGTTGCAGTAGGGACCGGGGAGCTCGGTTTTGGCTCGCTCGCTGCTGCCTCTGCTGCTGCTGCTGCTGCCGTCGATTCCTCCGCAATAGGCAGATTGGGCGGAGAACCCTCCAGCGGGCCCGATGCCGGCCGGGAGTCTGGTTCAACTGCTTCCTCTAACGCTTGGAAAGGACTAGTGACAGCAGCAGGGGGGATCTCCAGGAACGAGCCTTCCTCGCCTAGCGTAGAGGTAGAGTCCGGGCTCTTGCGGCCTGACGGCGGCGAACCTGCTGAGCCCAACATCGCCGTTGGCGGTGACTTCGCCGGTGCCGGTGGGGGTTCCGATGCCGCTTCTCCTGGGCCCGCATCATCGCCGTCGTACAAAAAGTCCAAGAACTCCTTGTCTCCCCCGGCTCCCCTTGTCCCACCCGTGGCATCAGTAGCAGCAGCAGCAGCGCCGGGACCTGCTGCTGCTGCTGCTGCTGGAGTCGAATTCTCCTCCGTTGCTGAGGGAGCGCCGCCTGCGGCTACGTCCTCCGTTTCCCCCGCATTTGCGTCTTCGACAGGCTCGGAGTCCCCGAAAATATCGTCGAACTCGTCCAGGCCACTCCCACCCGATGCTGCTGCGGGCGCCGCGGGCGCGTCCTTGGCCTGCTCCGAGCTTGAACCGCCTGCTCCCTCGCCTCCCGCTGCTTCCGGTGTACTTGCATCGCCGAAGATGTCATCAAATTCTTCGAGGTTTTTGTTCGTCTCCGAAGCGGCGGCCTCAGCAGGTGTCTCTGCTGTCGGCTCCGGCCCGAATATGTCTTCCATCTGTGGCCACTGGACTGGTTGCCCTAGCAGACTTGGTCGCGGGTCTGATGCACTCGCGGCAAGCTCTGCTACCGTGTGATGAGGTATGAAGGATGTGATGTACGTTCCACCAGGTGTTGATACAAAATTCCTTCTGGCGCAGATCAATTATTTTATACACCAGCAGAAGTAGCTGGGTCGGCCGCCACCGGAGAGGATGTGCTCTATCGCTCCCGTAGCGGAACGCACTGCCGCGTATTAAGCGAGAATTCCGCTAGAAGATGGAAACCGACAGGGATATGATCGTGATGTGCAGACAAGACAACGAGGCTTTGCTGCGTCGTGGCTTTGGGCACGTGGGCAAGGGGGCCCCGCACCGGCGAGCGTACCGACCAGTGAGGTGTGCTAACAGTTTGTCTGCCGTGTCCCAATAGGACTTGTGGGGGCAATTGTGCAATTGTTGAATTGTTGGTCTGCCCCAAGGAAGCACGAGGGAGGCTGCTGCAGCCAAGAGGTATTTCGGAGGAGATCTATTTCTTTGCGTGGGCTGCGTGCTGCTCTCTTCCCGTGCGCGCAGGCGTCTGGGGGCATTCACATATCGGCTGGAACTGGAGGTTGAATCTTCGTGGCTCTTGGTTGCATCAATTTAAATTTGGGCCACGTCCTCGGAGCACAAAACCGCTCCTTGCAGCCCCCACCTCTGCGGAGGATGGCGTGGTTGTTGAAGCCACGTCACCTGCTGGTGAATCCACGCCCCCGGCGGCAGCCCTCGCAGCCACCGCCATCGCGCCCGCCACGACCTGGGACGGCCGCGGGAGAGACGCACCCCCTCCCGTCCCCAACGACGACTCGGCCTCACCGCCAGTAGTCCCGTCACTGCGGTGGACACCAAGACGTTCCTCCGTCTCCTGCGATTTGTGCTCTGAGGACATGGCCCAAATTTAAATTGATGCAACCAAGAGCCACGAAGATTCAACCTCCAGTTCCAGCCGATATGTGAATGCCCCCAGACGCCTGCGCGCACGGGAAGAGAGCAGCACGCAGCCCACGCAAAGAAATAGATCTCCTCCGAAATACCTCTTGGCTGCAGCAGCCTCCCTCGTGCTTCCTTGGGGGCAGACCAACAATTGCCCCCAAGTCTACCCTTCCTTCTAGTCAGGTTTCAGACACTTTCACTCTGACTCAATGCTGCTGCTCTCTGATTGATTGGCCAACAGATATTTGATCTTCCGCTCCTCATAAAACTCAGATTTAACGCCTCTGTCTCTGCAATCTTCTGCATGTTGCTCCGATGCATGGGATGGATGTGGATGGCCGCCCGGAGATATATCCTTATCCTGCGTGCACGTTGTGGTGCTTCGTGTATTCTCGGGCGCATCTTGTGCTGCGTGGTATGGGTAGGTCGGTACCACGACCGAGTACACCAAGAGGTCGGCAGCTAGTTAGCTGTATTTTATTTTATTTTTCTCCCATCATCATCGGACTCTGTCGTCTGCCCCTCTGGCCCCCATCCTCCACTTCTACTAGCTAGAAGACGACCCAACCGGGGTCACATAGGAGGGGGGGGGCGTACTCATTTGTTGCTTGCCGTAGTCATTTGACCATTGACCACGCGTCCCTTTCGAGACGGAGCACCGTTCCTACACCTACTAGATAGAGACACCACCAACATTTGGGAGCTTTTTACGTTTCTGCCACAAACTCCATAAAAAATTCTTGCACATCTTATCCCCGTCCTCTAGGGCCTCTTGTGCCCACCATCTATCCCCAATTATCGCGATCGTTTTTTCGCTGTTGTCTAATTTACCAAACTTGTCCATGTCACACCCTCTCTGTCTCATTTCCTCCTCGAGATCCTCTCTTTCCTTCCTGTACAACTCACACTCCCCAACTATGTGGGGTCTACTCTCCTCCGATTTGCCACATGGACATGTGTGTCTATCCTCCTCTTCCTCTCTCCTACGGCTGGTATACCTCTTCCTCCGTTCTGGCAAGTCCAGATCGCCTACTCGAAATTGCAATTTCAGCTTTTTCGCATAGTCCATGGGGCCGTCCAAGTACT